AAGGCTGTTTGTTACTGTGGTGGCTGGGACAGCAGCAGCAGCTATGGTGTCTGGTGGCAATGAGTAGTAGGAAGTGAGACACATACTCCAAGATCAGGAGGAGTTTTCTGACCTTCTCCCTCCTGGCTGAGCAGAGTTGTGGCTGTGGGGCTGAGGCAAGTTCCTGTCCCATCTGCACAGCCAGAGCTGTGAATGTCTGCCCTTTCCTGTTCCAGAGAATGGGAGGGGTTACTCTGTGGCGTGGGACCATTGTCCTCCTCCCTGCAATGTTCACAGTGTGGCATCGTCTGCCACCCTGCTGCCTCTTGCTACTGACAGCCATGTCCTCCTGCTGCTGCCAGAACTGCCTTTCTACTGGGATGTGTTTGGCTGGGCACTGCTCCCTGAATGTGCCGGTGACCATGGATAGGAGGGAGTTGGAGTATTTTTCCTGTACACACAATGGGGCATGTGTAGCTGAGATATTCTCTCACACCACTTATAGTCCTATTTTCTTATTTCTGTCCCTGTCTTGGGAGTGGCTCTGGTCTTTGCCCTACCTGTGTGAATGCTTATGAATCATTTATTTGTCGTGCATCCCTTAGAAAAAATTGATGGAAGGTTTTTTTTTAGTAACAGCACTTTCCTGATGCTTCATTCCCTTATGCTGAAAAATTACAATAGATTTAGACCTTGCTCCTCCATGTGTCTTTCATTTTAATGTCCTGAAAAAGAGACCTAATAACCAAGTACTAATTATTGACACAAATCAAAGAGTAGCCCTGGGAATTTCTTGTGAGCATCATGATCTTTAAACTCCCACCTTCTTTGTTCATCTATCAGGCTCAATCATTGTTTTAGTATAAGTTTGAATAATTAATTTTCTGTTTAAAAGAAAGGATACAGTAAGAGCAAACAGCTGCCTGAATGAGAGGTGTGCTCTCCTGCAGCTGTGGCACTCCCTGTCCCGCTGCCCAGGCAGGACTGTGTTCCTGGGCACTAGCTGATCCCCATCTTCTCCCCTTTCTCCTCTCCCTCTCCAGGTTCCCTGGTCCAAGCAGCACTGACTCAGCCCCCATCGCTGTCAGTGGAGCCGAGTAAGACTGTCCAGCATCCAGATCACCTTGCTCTGGGCTTAGCAGCAGCAGCAGCAGCAGCTATGGTGTTGGCTGGTATCAGCACAAGGTACCGGGCAGTGTCACTGTGATCTATGATAACACCAACAGACCCTCGGGCATCCCTTCACCATTCTCTGGATCCATCTCTGGCACCATGGGCGCATTAACCATCACTGGGGTCCAAGCTGAGGACAAGGCCATGTATTACTGTTGGAGCTACGATGACAGCAGAGCTGATAAAGCTCATGGTGACATGGAGCTACAGGCAAGTGAGGCCTTGATTGTCAAATGTGTTGGTTTTATCTCCTCCTTCCTCTCAGCCATGCAGGGCTGTCTCTTCAGCTTTGGGTTTTCCATTTTCCCTCCCCATGCCCTTCCTTATGTGCTGTGTCTCAAGGCAGCGACTGTGTCTCCAGTGATGGGGCCATGGTACTGGTGAAGCCCTGGTGGGGCTCATCTCCACCGCCAGGTCCACATGAGGGGCAGAGGAGCATGGGACAGTGCTAGGCACTGGCTGACCCCCATCTTCTCCCCTCTCTCCTCTCCCTCTCCAGGTTCCCTGGTCCAGGCAGCGCTGACTCAGCCCTCATCAGTGTCAGTGGAGCCAGGAAAGGCCGTCCAGATCACCT